AGGCCTGTTTTATCCATTTACATTTAATAGAAGAAAATTACTGTGTTATGTGACGATATTGTGGGGATATTAATAAAAAAGCCTGCAAAAGTTTAATTAAAATGAAGAATTACCACATGAAATACAACATTTCTCAATAGGATGCCTTCTTTTCCTCACACGCATACAAACATTTGTTTTTAAAATGGCCAGACACAGGGGCGTAAATTTCATCTAACAGTAGGGGGGGAGCAATTTTGGAAGGGGACACAAATAATACAGCCAAAATTGTACTTGTAAAGGATATGCGTACACAGAGGGAAGTTTTACTACTGTTTTCCTGGCCAACAACACAAAGCAATAGTTGTTTAAATATGACTTGGATTCATAGGTTCACCATGTGGTCATATTAACCTAATTAACTTGTGTTCTCTACATAGTCATTTAGGCTTCTTCTAGCGCAGAGGACTTCCCTTACTTAGGCTAGATATTTAACTGCAGCAGGCCAACTGATCTGCCACTTAACATCATAATGTGCAAAACCCAACTCAATGGCAGATCTACGGTATTAGCCTAATATCGGTTCACACACAGACTTATCGCCTTGCGAGTTGTAGTAGGAGATGCACCGATTAAATTTTTCCTGGCTGATTACAATTACTGATTTTTTAAAGGTCTGACCTGCCGATTCTGATTTTCTTTCTTTTATAAGAACTATAATTGACAGCATATGCAAACATATTTGTAACTTTTTATTGGAAAAATCTATTTTTAGTAGGATCCCCATCAGCACCAGTATTAATGTTGGCTATTCTCCCTTGGGTCCATTCAATTCCATGGTCATAATGAAACAATGACTATAATATAGCATTCGCATTTTCACTGGAAGGAGCTGTTTTACAAATAAAATCCAAGTCTATAAATTAGACCATTTATTCTAGACTGATAGCCTATATTTACTTTAAAATATTTGAAAGAATAGGTTACATTATGATTTTTCTAATCTCACCATATTCTTTATTCTCTTTATTTTTGTTTAATCACAACTACAGTAATCTGCTCACCTTGCTTTTCCAGTCAGACAAACAGGCACACATCTACACCTCTCTCTCTCTCTCTCTCTCTCTGCTCTGACTTTCTTTATCAGCAGTTTTATAAAAAAACAACTCGCGTTTTGTATTTTTTCACCCGCGATTCCGTTTTCACAGCATCAGATGAGTCGCGTGTGGAGGAGCCTTGTTATTAATTACCAATAGAGACCACCGTGGTATGAATGACAACAGCTATGTTCACTGTTACTTTACCTGGCCCCTGCTTTAAAATATCCATCTTTATCTTCTAACGTGACACAAGAACGCGTCTCTTTCTGCGTGTTTCTCTGCAGATATTTAGTGAGCGTTGCGTCTTCTTCTCTCTAGTGAGGAAGTTCCACACACATAAGGCAGGTTTTGGCCTGTGTGTGTGTGGCTGTGACACGAGGTTACTGTCTGTGCACACATGTGTAACACGGCGCAGTACAGCGTGTTTGTAACGTTCAATGTGACCAGCAGAAAACTGGATATTTGACACTGCTCAGCCCCGGTCACTTTTCATGTCTGAGTAAGCGAAAAAAACGGCCTATTTCAGTCCCCAGCTGATCAATCTGCGCATCTCTAGCTGTAGAAGGTGAGTTACAATCCAACAAGCTGTTAAACAAGCTACCAAACAAGCTAGGTAATGTTATAACATAGTGGGGTAATGGAAAAATAATCGGTTATCATAAGTTTTTGTCATGATTAATTTATTAATGACTCAGTATCATCTGTATTAAAGACAAAATAATCAGTTCATCCGATGTTTAAAGTGAAGAAAACAGCCTTGCCAGCATTTAACATTACTGCAGTTCCATAACTACTGAAGGATCCAAACTGGTTTTCTCCCACCGGCCTCCTGTGAGAGGGAAAGCAAGCTGTGGACCAAACCACTGTGAGGCAAGAGAGGGGGGACTCAAAATGTTTCTAAACTTAAAACGCACTTTTATTGCCCTGTTTGCGTTTGTGTTGTTTTATTACTTACACAGTTATTCTAAGTATATATCTTTATATTATTTAATGGTTTTTAGGGAGGGGGGGGGCAACCCTCAGAAAGGGGGGGTCCTGTCCCCCCCGCGATTTCTGCCTATGGGACAGATTAAAAGCAATCAGCACCCATTTCCCAAATGAAACAAAGAGGAGTGTAATAAAGGCCAAACGGCTCACTGAAACCTAAACTCGGCCTTGTTTAGTATTAATGTTATTTAAAAAATAAATTCTGCTGGCTTTGTAATCTGTCCCTACTTAACCAGAATTTAAAAGACTTAGTTTTAATGAGGACAGATTTTTCTGACAATGTCGCCCACTGCAAGAAACACCAGACAACGGCTAATGTTAAGTGACAATTTCACCTTTATTAACATGGTGAAGAATCATTAGAAAAGGTCATGGTGATGGGCTGGAGGAGGTCTTGGTGCATAGGTGGTGCCTGTAAAGAGAGCAACACACTGAGAGAGAAAAGACTCATTAAATAACAAGGATGCCATGAATCACAGCAGCATTTTATCATTCAGCCTTGCAGGCCATCCACGTTGAATGTGATTTAAAAGCAAAAAATGTAGTGAGGAGTTTTTTTAAAATTATTTTAGATTACCTATGTTCACCAGGAACTTTTATTGAGATAACCTAATGCACAGTGTGGACAAAACTGTGGAGCATTATTAGACTTGTCCATTAATTGTAAAAGTAATAATGGTTTATTACAGCCATAAAAACTCTATTTTGGTCCTATATTTTCTAATAGGACATAACTGTAGCTATGCCTCTGCTTGAAATGAGTACTTGCCCACTACCTTTAAGATTTGTTGTATTTCGCTTAGGGCTAATTGTTTTCTATACTTCATGTGTGAAGACATTGTACATTAAGTTTACAGAAACAAAGAGCATTTAATGACAATTTAAAGTTTATGTCTGGCGATATTCTATTTTCAACAAACAAATTCCACCCAACCCAAAACATTAAATCAATCCTAATAACGAGTAGCCTGTTGCCAAAGCCTGATAAATGTTAATCCTCTGTGAGCTCAGTTGTTCAAATATTATTAACCCTTTCATGCAAGAATTATTTGTAGTTATACAAATAGTTTTATGTTTGTTTTTCCTTTTAAAAAAGTGAAAAAATGTGCTTGTAAACTTTTTTTCCCCATATATATTTTATTTTGAGATGTGTCCACTGTGGCATGTACGCCGCCATACAAAGTGACTCAATATAGTTTTTTTTTTTTTAAACATTTACTAAAAGCAAGTGGTATTAATATTATTATTATTATTAAGTTATTCAAGTACAAATGATATCCTCATTTTAAATAAAACATACAATATAAGGTGGAATCTACTCAGAATATACCCTTTGGTGTAGAACATCCACTGGAGTGGACAGATGTATTTTCTTCAAAATGTACAAGAAACACATCATTAAATCTGGATAAATGTATTTCCAACATCTTATTTAGTTGAAAACATTTTTTTTTTACTGGTTTGGTTTTATTAGAATAAAAGAATTTTACAGTTATTGCTGTATTCTTCTGTCCCCTGTAGTGAATTTATGATTCAGTATGTCAAAATGACAGAATTGTAAATATAATAAGTGGAATTGTATTATTGTATTGTATTGATTACATTTTCTATTAACATAATGAGGAGATGTTGTTAATTAGAGCATAAGTCATGTAAATAGAGAATATAGTCAGCAGTGCACAAAACATGACTCATTAATAACATTTAATCAAAACTGATCTTTAACTGCTTTTTTTGCTTAAACCTAACCACCTACGTGAGTCACATACTACGCCTGCTCGCTATCCATCCAGATTACCTCCTTACAATTTCTGTGCGATAGATGAAGTTAGCGCTCTGTTCACTCACAAAACATCTGTGAACATAATCCAGCCAGTGATTACATTCACACAACGTAACTGACGCTAAGCGACACTGTTGGTGACGTGTTCCTTCATATGAATAATTAACACGGTCACTGTTTGTTTTGAGTCAATCCCACACTGTTCTGCTGCTGTAAATACTTACTAGAGCAAATGTGTATTAATACGCAAAATAGTCCCTAATAAATGCACCATTTCCTTCTGTTTGAGTTATACCGGATTAAAACTACAGTGCCCAGGGGTTTTAGGAAATCACTCGGCCTTTTTATTACATGAATGAACCTTTTCTTTTTATATCGTAAGCAGGATCCAATGAGCTTGGGGCTGAGTACTACAGACAGAGTATCAAAGACCGAAAGCCCTGAGAGACAGACTGGTCCTTTAATGGGATTTGCTGACAATGGATTGGATTTGTTAACGCAAGCCTTATTCTTTAAGATACAGTTCTGTCCTCTGACCTCCAGTTTGCCCTGATGAACCAAACCCCACTCACCGGAAGCACCAATCCAGCTAAACTGCTAAGTGTTAAATGCAAGTAGTATGCTACTTATCCCTGACCAAGGCAAGTGGCAGGTGAATAAATAAAACAGGTTTTTGAATTATTCACAGTGGAGGAATGTGTGTCATCAACATCATCACTGCCACCCATCTTCGTCATCTCCTGAATTATCCCTGAGGATTTGGTTCCCATGGCAGGCTTGATGCTTCAGAGGTCATGAACTCACAGCACATATGCTAATAGACTAATAAAGCAGCCTTTCCTTTGCATCTGACTGCCTGAGTGACATTGATCTTGCAGTAGAGAGACAGTGTTGTCCCTTAGAGACCACATGCATGGACACAGGCTGCATGAACAGGGGGGACCTCGTCCTCTGACATACTTGTAACATCAAAAGCAAAATTCAACAAACATAATACATATTTACATAAAAATAAGTAATCGAAAATACATAAAAGTCTCTTATTAGGCTATAAATCCACATTAGACTGTGATGATTAAGATGGCCTTCTGGCCAGTGTAAGGAAAACGTTCCTCTTTTTGAAACCGTGGCAGTGGGGGAGGGTTTTCCCACTTGCTTCCTCCACTATAAGCCGACTGCTGCTGAAACAGAATGCAGGTTTTGTTTGTGCTGGAATTTGCAGCTTAATTTAGTGTACCAAGAAACTAAAAAAACTTGAGAACTGTGCAGAGGATGTGGGTGCAAGCTGAGGACAGTGCAGCGGCAGGTAAGACTTGACATATGTGGATATAAACTGGTGCTGAAACTTTTGCAGTTTCAAAAAGATTTCTCAGTATCTAAATAAGTCATGTTCTTTGTTGTGGACTGTTTTTAATTCTCTAATTGTGTGTATGAAAAGTTCAAGCCATAAAATGCTTCCGTTTAGTACAGTTTCAAAGTGTCATCTTTGTTTGATTATTCCAACAATCTCCTGTATTGCTGACATTTAAATTGCTTTAAGAAATCCAAACTGTGCTTGAATAAAATGTTCACTGGAATTAATCAGTGCTTCATTACCGTTAAGGCAAAAGTTCACCATTTTGGGGAATTTGTAAATTCACTGTCCTGAGGATAGCGAGATGAGAAGGCCGATACAGCTCACACGTATGTCAGGTAAATATGAAGCTATACAGCCAGTTAGCTTAGCCTAGCACAAAGACTTGGGGTTTATGTGCAGGACAATTTCTTAGCTTGGCCATATGAAAGATTCCTACACATAAACCCACATAAAACCTGTTTTTACACTTCAGTTTTTGAACAGGTTAAACAAACAAAATATAATGTGCTAATTAGAGAGGTGCTGGCAGGTTTTCAATATATTCATTTTCTTGGTGATGGTTGGATGAGAAGATTGGTAGCAATCTCATTAAGGGCCTATGCCTGGTAAAAATGAAGAAACAGTGACCAGCCAGTTAGCATGGCTTAGCACAAAGACTGGAAACAAGGGTAACCAGCTAGTTCACAAATCAACACTTTATTTCTTGCTTGTTTAACCTGTTCAAAAACTTCACCCACCTAAGAAATTGTCTTGCTCATAAACCCCGGTCTTAATGCTAGACTAAGCTAAATGGCTGCTGGCTGTAGCTTCATATTTAAAAGAGAGATGCAAGAGCGGTATTGATCTTCTCATCTTACTCCCCTCAGGAAAGTGAATTTGCATATTCCTGTAATGAAGCACTGATCGATTGGCCAACATTGTATTCAAGCACTTTTTTTGGATTTATTCAAGCAATTAGAAAAGCAGAAGTGTAAAAACAACATGATTGGGGTTTTATAGGTGGTTATATGATGGACTATTTCATGGCTGGATATGAGAACGGTATCAATGTTCTCATCAAACTCTCAGCAAGAAAGCAAATTAAGGTGTTTCCCAAAATGTCGAACAATTGAAAAGAACTTAAAGCTCTCAGTTTGTAAGAAACAGTGAAGCCGCAGGAAACTGATGTGAGTCAGAAGTCACAGAAAGTGAAACAATTTTTTCTAGGATCCCTCTGTGATTTCACTTCCTGTATTTCTCTCACCAACCTCCTTCACACAGCCTTACGAAGTTCCTCTTGCAGTCACGCTGACAGGATGAGAGGATCTGTGATTATCTTGCCTCCCAGCTGACCATGGTCTCTGTTTTCTGTTGCCAGTCAGTCCATCTGTTGCATGACGATAAAAAGATTTTCTTTTTCTCCGCAGAGTCTGACGGAGAGAGTGGTTTATCTTCTGAAGATGAGGGAGACATTCAGGTATCACTGTTAGTGACAGGCAGTAAAATAATGGTTAATTAATGCCACTTTGTAATGTGCATTAGAGACAATCAGCATCAGAAAATCAGGAAACACTGAAAATTCTGCTCAAGCAGGAAGTCTAATGACTTTTCTCATGTTATGGTAAAAACAACGGAGATGTTATTGGGTTTGGTTAAAAAATCTTGGATGTTTAATCAGAGAAAAGTCATATTATTTTGTCTTCACAGCTCACATTTTTACAGTAAACAAATACAGAAACAATTTAAAAAAAGAAAGACAATATTTTACAAAATTGCTGAATTAAAAACTTGAAAAAAAGGTGTACAAACATGATTACATTAACAATAACAAATGCAACGTTGGTGCCTCAACCATACGGATAATAGAATAAAATTAAATACATTAATCTCTTTCTCCTGCTTTGTTGTTGCTCATTGATGTTTGATTTTTAGTGTGAGATCCTGGAAATGCAGAGGGATGAAGCCAATCAGAGACTGGCTGAATTGGAGGAAGGTGAGAAGAAACACACACTTCATTTTCTTTGCCTGCTTCTCCCCATCCAGGACCATACGTGGGGTGGAGACTATCCCAGTATGCATGATTGGGCAGACAGACTCAAATTGACATATATCACATCTATAATATACAGTCTACAGTGCGTGGACGAAAATAAGGAAGGAAGGATTACAGTGAACAAATGTACACAAAAACAGCTTAAAATAATCTTACTTGGTTGAAGTTTCACATTAATTCTGTGCAATTTAATTCAACTCTCTCCTCAAGTCTCCTCTCTTATATTTCTATGAGATGACCATGAGATGACTATTAACTGCCCTCTTTTCATTTCCAGTCTCCAATCAGCTCTTGAAAGAGATGAATGTACTGGAGATCCAGTTCCAGATTGAACGCTCCTGCAGGGAGAGTGCTGAGGCACTGGCTGTTAAAGTACGTCCTTTTTACCACTGTAGTGTTGCTCCTTTCCTTTTCATTCCTCTCCTTTCCTTTATTTGCCAGCCCTTTTCTTTGCTATGATCTTTTTGTTACTTTCCTTTGTCTTTTCCTTTCCGCTCCTGACATGTCAAGAGACTGACGTAAAAATGCACTGTACATCCGATGATATACTCTAACCTCACCTTACCTTTTTCATACTGACATATTAGAATAAAACAAACAGCGACCTCCGGACTCACCACGGTCTCCTCTCTTACCTAGGTGACCAAAGACAACAAAGTCTTGAAGAGGAAGAGCCAGATGCTGATGCCGCTCATCCCCGAGCATCATGAGAACTTGCCAACTGTGACCTTTGACCTAGAGCCTGACCCCGCCTTTAACTGTGACGTGGTTGATCTTGGTGATGACAGCAAGGAGGAGACGCTGCTGCTGGAGAGTCAAGTCAAGATCGCAGGTTTGACAAATCTGCTCATGATGTGAATTCACATGATTCTCAATTAAAGGTCTAACTGGCAGTGACCAAAAGCATTTTTGTCTGCCTGATGAATCATGTTGAAAATGGAAAAGGCACCACAGCTACTGTCACACCTGATGTCCCAAAATAATAATCATGATATATATATATAAAATAAAATATTGCCGAGAATAAGTGCTTTAAAATATTTTATCTTTCCGGGCAGCCAGTAGATTTCTATGTGAGCACAAAAATCACTTTGAAGGTATTAAAATAACATTTGATTTTCACCCTACCGCTGTGGGACCGAGTCATGGAGCGGAGAGATCACATATTATAGCAGCTTCAAAGCGTTTTTCTTCAACATTTTCCCTTAATAAGCTGTTTCAAAATCATACGTACTCAGATCATCATCACAGACAAATTGGACTTGGATTTGGGAAGTGGATTATTCGTTGGTGTCAAAGTCTATAACTCGTCATGAACCTCTTTCTGTGTGTGTCAGAGCTGCAGGCGTCAGTGGATGGTCTGCTGGCTGAGAAGCTGCAGCTGCAGCAACAAGTGGAGGATCTGACCAAAGAGCAGGCCCAACTCAGAGAGCAGGTACATTGTGTGTGTGTGTGTGTGTGTGTGTGTGTGTGTGTGTGTGTGTGTGTGTGTGTGTGTGTGTGTGTTTGTGGGTGTGTATAATTTATCACAGACCTTTTGTCTCAGCTAGCACTGGAGATTGAGGAAAAAGAGGCCATACTGAGAAAAATGAGCAAACAGAGCAAGACCATGAATAAAATCAAACGAGGTGAGTGCTCATTACATTTGGACTGCAGCTTATAATTATTTTCATTATTGATGAATCTATCAAGTATTTTTCTCTAATATTTGATCTAGAAAATGGCAGGATATATTGAAAACTAGCCTTTACAAGTTCCCAGTCCCAAAGTCTTTCCTTTTTTCCATTTCTTGTTTCATTCGGCCAAACCCTAAACCTAAAGGTATTTAAAGAGGCATTTCACCAAAATTACAAAAACACCACATTTTCGTCTGATATCTAGCCACTCAAGAGGTTTTGAGATGTCTGCCTCTGAGATTTCTTCTGCCATGCCAACACAAGTCATGTATGTGTTGTTACTGTAATGTAGAAAAAGCAGCAAATCCTCATATTTTAAAGACTTGAATGGGCATTTTTGCTTTATAAATGACTTCACACAAATCATCTGCAGATTGACTAATTTATTAAGCAACGAATCATTTCAGTGCTACATTTATTTGTTATTTATTTATTTTCAGATCGTCAGTCAAAATCTTCATGAATGCTGCTTAATTTTATGTGTGTGTCTTCTGTGTGTGTGTGTACATGCACAGTCTCCCAGCTTGTCACAGAGGAGTTTGCAGAAATGTCTCAGAAACTGGAGCTGGAGCAGGGCCTCCGGCAGCACGCTGAAGTCTTCGCCCACCAGGTGTGAGCACATTGCGTGTTCGCGTGTACGTGTGTGTGCGTGTGTGTGTGTACATGTGTGTTTTTCTGCACAGCACTGAACATTTTGTCATACATTCACACCTATAGATACTGAGGGTGACAGGTCGTGCCACAGGAGCAGGAGCAGGGGTGTTGGCGCTGACCTTCGGGCAGCTACGGCGAACACACTTGGACAGGAGGGGGATGGGGGGGGCGCACACACACTCACACACACACACTTCTGGTGTCAGAGTGCAGCTGATGTGGCGGGACAGGAGAAGGGGTCTCCATTCTCTGTTTTCACACCGATGACACTTTGGTCAAATCTGGGCTCTCTGTGTGAGGCGAAGCGTTCACACACACAAGACAAAGGCAGACACACACTCTTACACATGCGGGAAAAAACACCAATTCTCTTAAAATCCACATACCCAAACACACGTACACACAGCACAATTTTGCTACCCCAGCTGCTCCTATAATGAAGGCCCTTTCTTTCAAAAAACATCTCTCTGTTCCATTCCCTTCCCATTTAGCCCCTCCCTTCCCCATAATTAGTGCTCATCACTGCTGCTGAAGGAGAATAGCTGCCTTTAAGCACAACCTGTCTTTGCCTGACACCTTTATGTTTTGCCGAGCATATAGCAATTGTCGCCTTTGTCCACAGTGTCCTCCATTTACCGGACAGGCGCACAATGGGCTGCCTCGCAGGGGTCCTTACCTGTGAAAAGGACCCCCAACTGTTCACACAATTCAGCCCCTTTACTCTCAATTCATGGTAAAAGACCCCCCTGCGCTGAATGCCTGTTGTATGCACTACTATTTGTCTGTTTTCATGTGTTTTGAAAACACTAACCATTCACACCTCTTCTCTGTGATGCATGGTGGTATAATGATGCAGGGCCTCAAACAGGAAACAATTTGGAGGTTTTTTTTTGTGTGTGTCTTTGTCTCTTTGTGTAGCTGTGTGTGGTTGGGCCGTGTGTTTGTATGTATGAAATAATTGTGCTAATTGCTGTGTGAAAATTGCTCTCTGCTTAAGGGAGACCAGAGATTAGGGCGGTGTCATTTGCAGCACGGAGCCTTGTGCTGCATGCGCGGATACAGAAACCTGATACACCAAACCTGCTGCCTCACGTTTGCTCGTACAGTAAAAACACAGAAATGAAAACCATTTGTTCTCACACTTCCTGTTCTCTGATCAGTACCTGCTCTTCCCAAAGTGTGCGTACAATCTGTCAGAGTATGACCAAAATACGCCCGAGCTCATCATTTGTTTTGTTTCTGTGAACAAAGGGGGGTTTAACAACTACAATTACACATAAATTACACATGATAACATGAAGTTTTTAAAGGTGACTGATATTTTTGGGGAATCGGTATAGTCAGAAATCTGTTTCTGGCAATATAAAGAAAGAGAAATTCAATAATTTTTTGACCAATTGTGTTAAATACTAGATGGGCTCCTGAGCTCTATTTATGTCCTTTTTCGAACTTGTGTTTGTTTCTTGCCAGTCTGTCGTTCAAATGTTACCTGCTGTGACCTACTCTGGATGGGAGGCCAAACTAGTTCTCCTTTGTGGATTAATAAGCTATTTAATCTAACGGATCAATACCCACATTTTACCTGTATATACAATATTAAACATCACACAAGCTCATTCAAATGAACAAAAGGTTTGTTTATAACACTCTTAACTATAGCTGGTGTATTTATTTGCCCCACCATAGAAGAAAAAATCACATTTTCCCAGTAACTCAAGGCAAAGCTTGACATTTTTCATTTTTCCTCACAAGCCACATATCATAATGTTGGAAAAGGGATGCTTTGTCTCGCAGCGAAATTGTCCTGTTTTCATTGTTACTCTTCTTCAATGAAGCCGATGAGTAATTCTAATAAGGCTTCCAAGTCATTGTTCAGTCAAACACTGGTTTGAAAACATTTTCTCTGCATTGTGACAACCTCCTGGGGGATAAAATGAACAACCAGCCATTCAGATCTCACTGGATTTTTTCTCTAATTGCTGTTCATTGTCACTGATGGATTTCTCTTCCATTTTCGTAGCAGCAGATAATCATAAAGATGTGCTCAACAAGTCAAAAGGTGAAGCTAGATTTGATTTGTCTTGTCAGATGATGGCGCAGCAGACGGCAGCCAACACTCAGAGCATGAGCGCAGAGACTGGCCTGCAGCTGCAGCAGACGCTGGAACAAATCACCACCATCAGCACAGCCCTGTGTGATATACAACGCTACTACCAGGACCAGGTGTGTGTACATTTGATGAAAAAAGTGTCATTATACTACTATTAATGGTCTTCATCATGTCCCCTACTTCTTTCATCCCTGTGTTCAGGTAAAACAGAGTCAGAGTGTTGTGGAAGAAAGCAATGTCCTCTCTGAGCTGCAGAGCCTGAGAGAACAGCTGGAGAAGAGTGAGGAGGAGAGGAAGACCTTAGAAAATCAACTGTGTGAGGCCAACGGCACTGTCACACAGCTCCAGGAGGAGGGTAGGTGCTGGTGGAGAAAGAAAACACCTCTCTGAAATATTTCTTAGCAAACATGCCTAAAGGTTACAGCAGAAAAGGGTCAAAAACAGTGGCTGAATGAAGACAAAGTGTAAGTGCGGTATGATGCATGCTCCTCTACTGGCTTCTAGATATTGGCTCTAAAAAACATCTCGCAAAACACCTAAAAACACCAGTGTAGGGTTTTAGTAACTAATGTCAATTCTTCTGTGTAGTGGGGATGATTAAAAAAAATATTGTTCAATTAAGAAGCTTAGGAAAAGCTTGTTTAACTTGATTTATAGGTGGTGGATGCCGCTTGCCTACCCCACCTCAGCTCTATCAAATTTATGCTTCAAAATGTCCTTATTTAAACCTACGGATGACGTCCCAGACACTGTTTTTTACAAGCTGCGATCAAAATTTCAACTCAAATGCTTCTTAGCTGATTCCTCAAATTCATCTTGTCATTGTCTATTAGACGTGTTTTCCTGTCACTGTACTTTCTGCTAAATCCTTTTCTCAGAGTTATAAAGTTCCTCTCAAGCTTGTGTCTTTCTCTGAATGAGCAGGTGTTTCCAAAAAACATTTGTTATGGAATTACTTTTGCATTTCCAGGGCGAATAGTTTATGATACTAATGTTTAAAGGAAACACATTTTATTATCTTATTTGTAGTGAAACAGTTACAAGATACACTGAAGAGGGAGGATAAAACTGAAGAACCAGGGGACAGCAGCGTCCTTTCTGAGCTGCAGAGCCTGAGAGAACAACTGGAGAAGAGTGAGGAGGAGAGGAAGGCCTTAGAAACTCAGCTGTGTGAGGCTAACGGCACTGTCACGCAGCTCCAGGAGGAGGGTAAGTGCTGGTAGAGAAAGACAACACCTCTCTGAAATATTTCTTAGCAAACATGCCCAATGGTTACAGCAGAAAAGGGTCAAAAGCAGTGGCTGAATGTTGAAGCCAGACGTGTAAGTGCGGTATGATGCATGTTCCTCAACTAGCTTCTAGATGTTTGCTCCAAAAAACGTCTTGCAAAACCCCTAAAAACACCAATGTAGGGTTTTAGTAACTAATGTCACTTCTTGTGTCTTCCTCTGAATGAGCAGGTGTTTCCAACATTTGTTTTAACATTTCGTATGAATTAATTAATAAAATTGCATTTCCTGGGTAAATTTGCTTTTAGTTTATGATACTGATGATCAAAGGAAACATGTTTAATTATCTTCTTTGTAGTGAAACAGTTACAAGTTACACTGAACAAGGAGGATAAAACTGACGAACTGCAGGAGAAATCCACTGCTGCTCCACCTCCACCTCCACCTCCGCCACCTCCTCCACCTCCTCTGCCCCTCACTACTGTCACCAGGTATGCTTAACCAAAGCTAGAGTTTCCCTTCAACATTAAAAACAAGGAGACTTGGGGGACTGTCTTACATTATATAATTACATAATTTAAATACTTTCAGAGGCTTTTCACACCCTGACAACAAAAACTTATTCTTCACCAAGTTTGACAACTTGACCTGTGTGACCTCTCTGTCTCTCTCTCTCTCTGTGCTAAGTTCAATTGATTTCATGAGAAGCAGGAGAAAAGATAAAACCAGTAAAGTTGAACTAAATGGTGAGTCTCACATTTACCACTTTACATAAAACACATTTTTCACCCTGTAGCAGAAGTTTATCCTGAAGGTCAAAACAAGGGATTGTTGGACATTTTCTTTTTGGTTTCTCTAAACACAAAACTTCATCTTTGACTTAATTTTGATCGTGTGTTTGGTCGTGTATGTGTGCTTGTATGCATCTGTCCGCAGCTCATCTAGTATACCACCGGATCCATCAACCTAATATTTTTTTGTGCCAGGCATATCTAGTCTGCTGCACGCCTGCAGATTAATTCCATACCCGGTATGTTATGATTATAGACTGTATGAAAGAAGTGGACATAGCCACTGTGATGTCACCCACTGGTTTGCAGACTACTGTTTTGAAGACTTGAGTTTGATGTTTTGGTTATTGCGATCTTGGCTTGAACCAGATGTGACCATATTTGGACAAGAGAGTGGTGCGAGCCAGCCCGGTTAGCAAGGTGCATCTGGAATTCACATTAACTGTGATATTAACTAGGATGGTAAATTTGTGAAAAACAGGCTTAAAACAAATGTACTTACCGGAAACATTAACAGCCGACTCCTAATAAGCTTTTCAACAGCGCTGGTCAAATTGACACTGAGCAGTGGATACGAGTGACCTCTATCCTGATTGACAGGTGGCATGTTGCGACTTGTCAATCACAAGAAAGTGGAAGGAAAGGAAAGTGTTTGCTGAGGTGATAAATCAGGTGAGAAGTAGGGTAATTTTTTCATAGACTTCTTTCATACAAGTGGACTTCTTTTTGCAACCAGTGGAGTCACCCCCAGCTGGCCATTAGAAAGAATGCAGGTTTAAGGCACTTCCCCATTGGCTTCACTTTTCAGGGCTGGAGGTTCCCGCTTGGTTATGATCCACTAAAGCAAGGCACGATACGAGATGATTAAATCACCATTTTTGTTATCTTTGCCGCCATCTCGACTGGGGACAATTGAGTGAGAGCTCTTGTTTGTTTGAGAGGGACGCATATAGCCAAGACCCGTCGCCGTCAGTTTGCAACGCACTGGGCATCCCCATAGCGTCATAGTTCAACGCAGTGGGGACCCTAGCATCACTTTTGAACGGTAAAGTTAGGTGAAGGTTATTTAACAGAAAAGCCAGAGTAGGTGGTTGGGGTGCACAGGTGGGCCAGAAACTGGACTTTCATCAAAGAGACTGGTGTTTGTTTCCCTGTGTAAAACAAAAAGTCAACATTAAATATTTTTATTTAAGTTACATAGGTTACGTAAAATGCGTAAGTTACACAAGTAACTTTACTTAACTTACATGTGATCTGATGTACGTAGTTATTTTAACCCAAACCACGATCTTTCCTAACACTAACCAAGTACTTTTGTTGCCTAAACCTAACCAAATTGTAACGTTTCACAACTTTAACAAGGGTCAATATGTGATGAGTTGGGAGTGAGAAGGTGTTGGACTTTACAGAACAAGATGGTTTAAAACAGTTATATATTATATTAAATAAATATTTTATCCATTTATTATCTTTAAGAACCAGCACCCTTGTTGGACATGAAGGCGAAAGCGGTGGATGAAATGATGGAGAGAATAAAGAAAGGCATCATCCTGAGGCCCATCAAGAGAATGCAGGTGCACAGATTGTATTTGCAAAGACTTTCACATTTGTTTGTTTGTCTATATTTCCCATTGAATGTAACATGTATGTGCAATTTTGCATTTATATGGTGATCTTGTCCAGATGAACTTGTATAAGGACAAAAGCCAAATAATAAACTGTGTTAACTAACATCTGATTTCCCTGCTCACAGGAAGATGACAGCTCATGGAAGGTCGGTTATCCTCATACCTTTTTGTTTCTTTTTGTTGTTATTATAAAGCAGCTGTGACACAGTTCCAAAATATTTCAAATCTTCAAATCCCCAAATCGTCTTACAGGACCAGAGGAGTGAAAACAGAAAATCCGCTATCGTGGAGTTGAAAGGAATGCTGGTAATGTACTTAAACTCCAGATTCGCCAAAACTTGACCAAAACATTTTAATTATAAAAGACCCCTGTGTCTTAAAACTTCTTTAACCATTCTACACACCAGGACAACATAAAACGGCAGCCCCTCCGCAGAGTGCCATCCAGAAGGGGAATTGGCAGAAATGTTGGGGAAGCAGAGCTCTTGCAGGTTCTGCAGAGGAGGAGGAGAGCGATGGGAGAGACCCAGGACCTGGTCCCCTCAACACAAACAAAGGGTACACTTTCCTGTCACTCCTTTAAGCTCATGATGATGCTGCCGCGTGTGGTGTCTCTACAGTATATCTTTTATTTTGTCTTTTAGTAAATGTTTTTTTCTTAATATTGCTATTCTTGTTTACAGTATGTCTAACATGCTTTCATAACCGTCTTTTATTACCAGTTTTGTTTACATTAATACCTACTTATGCTATTTACATTTAAACCTGTAGTATTTCCCTATAGTGATGTACCTTAACATTTAACTTTTAAAAAGAGTTATGTAAGTATAATTTAATGTATTAAAAAATAGAAGAGTAAAAATTTGATCTATATAAAAGTAACAATTTTGGTCCTGTAATATTTATGAACAGAACAAAGGTTGTGATCATATCACTGCTGTTAGCCATCCGTTAGTTGTCATTTGGATTTGTGCCTAACCTGAGGATGTGGTAATGTCTTGGTCAGAGCCCAAGCCAGGTGATGTTCCCTGGGCAGGTGAGAGCGGCTGCGCCCCTGTGCTCCGGAGGCTGAAACAGAACAGAGAGAAGAGAGACTCTCGCATCAGAGCATCCGCACTGATCATCGGCCAGGGAAACTGAGAGCCCGAATATCGAAGAGGAACTCATTACATTACATTACTTATCATCGCTGGATATGTGTTGATTTAATATATAACTGAATTGATTTTGTGACCCTGCCTATTGATTTTGGTCAAAGTTAAAACAAAGACTCAAATAAAGCTCAAATAATGTCAGAAAACAGTTTTTAATGTTTGTTTATCGACTTGGGCGTACAAGATGGGAGCTGCACTTTGCACACTACCATCACATCCCACATTCAGGGATGAAGAAAAACAAAGTAAAGCTTTTTTTTTCAAATGCCATTTAACCCAGATACACTTCAAATAGCCCGTACTTGTTGCGTGTCAAAGGGAATGAAACTCATTCAGCCATGTTTAATGTCCATCATCATTCTTTTGGGTTTCTGGGTTTCATCTGATCTAAGTGCAAGTTACAGGACTTTTTTATGCACGTAGAATATAGATGTAAAATAACCCGAGCCATAAAAAACACTTAGGTTAAATAAATATCACCTATACTTCGCTCCCAAGGTGTCTGTCTCTTAAAGCTCGATCCAGCAGAAGGATGGAGGCTGCCATTTATTTAGGCACATTAAGGCGCTCACACCCAGAGCCCAAAGGTGTTGTTTAGATAAGAGCCTCAGGTGATCTGTGCGCCTCCTCCTGAAAGTATCCTTAAATGCGGCAGGTCGCCTTTTGTTTTCTCACCTCCACACAGATACTGTGCATATGTGGGCCCGTGCATGCATGAATGAACACATGCACAACACCCTCACACCACACTATCTATCTATCTGCGTATGTGCCTTTGTTAAAAGCATTTGAAAAGGGGATGAAATTACTCTCACCTTTGACTCTGACACCATTTTAGTGTCTTCACACAGTTTCACATTATATATTTACTTTATTTAGCTCTTTTTACTTGAGGGTCTGGGCCCCTTTCACTCTCCAGCATACATTTTTTTATTGTTTTCCTCCTCAGTCTCAAAGGTGTTAGCTTTTTCGCTGCAGTAATGTATTCTGTCCCCTCCATGTTATTGAATCAATGCACATGAAAGCCAATGCGTGTGTGTGTGTGAGAGAGAGAGAGAGAGAGAGAGAGAGACATACAGATAATGAAAGAGAGATAGGAGGTTCTGAAACAGATACTCTATATTTGAGGATGCTGATACAAACAGAAAGGACATGTTAACGATTAGCCAGCTCCCACCATTGCTGCCAATTGGATAGTCCATTTCTTGGTCAATTTATTCAACCATGGGGTTTCCTAACTGTTTCCTGTGTTTGCATCCAAGGCCTTTACAAAAGGCACAATTCCTGAAATAGATGTGATCATATTGACGGCCCAGATAAAGTTATAGATTAAGACAGAGACTTGGCAAATTCACGAACGACAACATGCTTGAACTAACTTTGATTTATTATTAAAATCCCAAGAGTTAGTGCTGGGTATGACTTGGATTACACAAATATTATGGGAGCTCAGAAAAAGTGTAAAATGCAGACAGACCACATGGTTGCCCTCAGCAACATCCATCAGGTTATTCAATGAGAGCTTTGAGCGATGAGGCAACTAAGTAGTGGTTTAACAATATTCTAATGAAAATGAATGAAATGCAAGTGGAAACCTCGGATTTGGAAAAATACCTGGAATGTTTTTGTGCGGTACAATGCTTGGAAGCTTTTTCACACTGTGAGTGCAAATTATTTCACTGAGCGCTCCCACTTAATGAGCTAAAGTGGCAAAGCCTGGCAAAGCCTGCAGCCAAGTTAGGCTGTGGTGATGGTACAGCTATTTTAACACATATTATGTACGTAAAATGTTTGTTTAACTGAAAATTAAAGTTTCTAATAATTGTATGTATTAATGTTTTGACTTACTGTGATTATAGGAGCTCCCACAATCAAACTCTCAAACAGTACATTTCATGAATCAGGACACAAGCTCTCTTATTTGTCTCGGCTGTGGTTTGGGAGGTAGAGCGGGTCGTCTAATCACAGGGTGGGTCTGTCTACATGTTGAAATGTCCTTGGGCAAGACAATAAACACCAAATTGCTCCTGATGCTCCACAACAGCACCTTGCCTTGAATGGTAGCTCTCTGTCATTGGTGTGTGTGTGTGAGTGTGTGTGTGTGTGTGTGTGTGAATGGGGTATAATTGCATTTACAATTTCTTTACCAGGACAGATATTTAAAATATCTGTTGATGTATAGAGTGATGATTTGATTCATTGTTTATGGAAGCAGCTTCTATAGTGAATAAAAAACTGGATATACTTCAAGCTAAAGCCCTGCGAATGTCTAGTGGGGCATTTTGCACTACTCCAATACCTGCCCTGTTGATAGAAATGCTAATTATGCCCTCAATTATTAGAATATATAAACTTGGGAATGAAATACTTGATGAAAATAAAAGGAATAAAATGCCTGCAAGAAAGATCTAAATAAACATTGGAAATAAGCTCAACTCTAAAGGAAAGTGGTATTATTAATGTCAATGTCTGCCCTCCATTCTGTTTGTTAGTTGTCATGGCTAATCCCAGAACCCGAAGTTGATCTATTAACACCGAACAATAACAAAAGTAAGAAATAAGGGGATATGTAATCAAGGAAGTTATGACCCAGCTGCAACAAGAATGGCGATTGGGTTAACAGATTTATACAGATGGACCCAGAGGCATTCGGAGCATCCACCCCTTAAGTATTAAAAATGGACATAGATTTTCAGATAATAAAAGAACAGAAGTAGCTTTAACTACAAAAAGAGGAATCAAATCCAAGTCCAGACCTGATATACTGACAGGGATTTAACAAACATTATACAGAATTTACAAAGCAGGAGGGTTTTATATGGGTTCCAGTACATGGGGGTGTAGAGTGAAATGAGGAAGCAGATTACTTGACAAAGACTGCTGCTCATAAGGATAGAATAGAAAGTGTCCTACAATATAGATGGTCAGAATACACTGTAAAAGTCGGTAAAAGAAATGTGTGTGTGTGTGTAAATAGAAACTATATTTTTACAACTAGAAAACAAATTACCAAAAATAAAACAGTGCAAGAGACAATATGCATGTTGGCGTGCTTATCCTGGAGACTTTAAAACAGATAAAAACAAATTCCAATATTAAACAATGCAAAGTGACATTGTGTAGATTTTCCCTCAGTCTCTGAGTTGTGGTTACTGCTTACGCTTAACAGTGCTGATTACAAAGTCTCACGGCTGCAGGATGAAGAGATCTCCTGAATCTCTCCGTCACACAGCATGGATGTATCAGCCTGCCACTGATGGAGCTGCTCAGTGATGTTAGTGTCTCATGAAGGGGGTGGGACGAGGCCTCCAACGTGGATGAGAGCTTTTGCCTATAAGGAAAGATTCAGTTGTCATAATAACAGCGTTAAGGCTTGCGGGCTTAGGAGTGGGCTGGCTGTGAGTGGTGTGTGTGGAGGATCAGTGACAGTAAAGACGCATCCTTGTCCAGAGTCACTCACTTCAAAAGAGAAGGCTGTTTAAACAAGCTGGGAGCAGCTGGGGAAAGCTGTTTCTGCTCTGCGCAGTTTACTCAGCCTGGATAACTGGACTTAAATGAAGACACTGATGGCGTATCTGCACAGTATTGGACTTAATATGACATTAAGAGATATCTGTCACACTACTGCACTTCTCCTCCAACCACAGACGGCGCTACAACCAAATCAAGCCTTTCCTCCATGGAGACCAGGCCCTTCCTTTCTGCTCTCCTCAGTACTGAAAACACAGGGGGAGGAACTTTGACCGGTGCTCCAGCGCTAGTTAGCAGCCAGCTAGCTGTATTATTTTCATATTTATGTGTGTTGTTTCATATGCAGAGAGATGTGGTTTATTTATTTACTCAGCTGGCTGTCGTTAGTGATCCAGATATCCTTCGTCACTCTAGCAATAGGTGAGTCCATGCGGGGAGTCCCTGCAGGTGCTAACGTACTAGCTGCTATTTGCTTGCTAATGCTAGCGGAGCAGGTCTTAGCAGGTATCGCACCATTTAACGGTAAAGTGGCTCCGTTTCACAAATTGGCGGCCGTGTTAGCTCTGAGCAATGTGTTAATGGTGACATACAAATACAAACAGCAACCCTGCCTAAAGAGTAAACAAGTTACGAGTATGTTAGTTCACTGAAGTACTGACGGCTACCTAGCTGTTTAGCTTGCTAGCATATTTTACTAAAACGATAACGTTACATATTTTTTAAAATGTGTACCATTAAGTAATAGTACACTAATGTCATGTGGTTATAGTTTTGTGTCATTTCTTTTTTATATAGTGTTGGTAAACACACTTGCTTTAATGTAATGTTTGCAGATAGTTAGCTAAGTTAGCATTTAGCTTTCTGTCTCTCTCTTCAGCCCTCTTGGGATTTTCAAACTAATCAATGAGTCGATGCCTCAGCAAACAAAGTTAGTATGGTCACAATGTCTGATATGCAGAAAAGACAAGGTAAAGTAGGGTCCAGCAGCAGAGTTTTGGAGGCTAAAATAAACTAGCCAATGTTGCTTTAAATTTAACTAACATTAGCTTACAGGTAAATTTCGTTTGTTTGTATTCGACAGCACTGTAGATTAGTTGACAAGCAGCAGTACTAAAAGTATGCTGAGCTTGCTAGTGGAAGAGCCTGTCCTCCACGTTGCAGGTTAAGTTACCTGGCCACGTAACACCTGGTGCAGCTGTCAGGTCTGCTGGCTGTCAGACTCTGGTAATGTCAATCACACTCTGTGTACTTTCATTTAGCTGTTTACTCTCTGCTTCAGCGTGGCAGCTGCAGAAACAAGACCAGACACTGGATCAAGGAACAAAGATTTCACATTTCAATGTTTGCTGATCTGGCTGAAAAGACGAACCTCATTAAATGATCTCACCACTTTCTAATAAGACAACCTCTGTTGGAGGGATGATACATTAAATTTAGGGAAGAGAGGGACACCCCTGCTCTGATGGCATGTGGTAGCTCGTTCCACCATCGTGCTGTTGCGGATTAGAACAGCCGGGACTGAGGTTGCTTTGTGTGTAGGGATGGCAGAGCCAGGTGGCATTCGTTGGAGGAGCGCAGTGGCCACTATCACTTACGGCTTCATCAGTGTTTTATAAAACATATTATATGCCTTTTGTAACATGACTTATTGACATTTATTACTATAACCTCCCCTCGTGTAGTAGCTGTCCTTCCTGCTGTTTATTGCCACTCATAAGATGCTTTGTAACGTTGCAACTTTGTGACAGTGTAATCAAAGCTAGGTGAAAGAGCATGTTTAACCTTCACCCCAACTTTCTAAAGTCAGCATCAGTATGCAGTATCTTCCCTCCTCTTCTCCAGGAACTGAAACTCTTGACGAAAACCAAAACTGTGTCAGAGTATCTAAACCTGTCAAACACTAGATAAGATTAGCATCACATGCTTCATCAGATTCTTAGTTTGCATGCTTTTTCAGATTCAATATTGCCTAAATTTATACATTTACATTTATACTGTATTTCAGGCAGTGTTGTCAGTAGGTTCCTCCAGTAAATCCAGCAAATAGCAGTGCTTTCAGAAAAAGGCCCAATTTGTTGTTCATATTTTATTTATTGTGGCGAACTGTACAGTGCCGAGAGGAGGAACAAAGGTTAGGGCGGAATGTCAGTCTGCTAGCAGACAAATATGGACTTCAAAAGAGCAAGGCAATTTGCTGTCGCTGTTCTTCTGTCTTTTTCTTTTGACTCTGTCTTTTGGAAGGTGCAGATTGCTTTTGTGTGATGAAGCTCTCTGACTCTCCTAAGAGCCTCTGCTGGCAAACCTGTTTGGACTAGTTTGATAAACTGCCTGCCTCTTTTTGGCCTTCATTCCACATGGGCTCAGTGACTGTGGGACACGTCTGTGTTGCTGGTGTGTTTGTGCCTGAACTGATATTACTTGGTTCGCAATACCTTTTGGGTACCGACTGAAGTTTGTATTTAGGACAGAACAGAAATCTGTCACGTGCTGAAATTTTGAGTATCTGGTCAGATTTATTGTCTTGTTTATTATTGTCGTTACACATGGCTGTTAAGACGTATGGGTTCCAAACCAGAAACAAAACCAGTCTCATGAAACTGATGGCCATTGATCTTAGAAAAATGGAGAGAGCTCCTCAGAAATGTGTTTCAAGCGGTCAAACTCTTACCAGCAGTGTATTCTGACGTGTCCCCACTATTGTATCAAAATTAAGAAATCACCCTTAGTTTTTTGGAGCCCTAAATATTAGTTGATTTCCACCAAATTTAGTTAATAAAGTTGGCAATGTATTTATATTTTAACCTGTCGTTTCTGTTTGTTTCCAGCAGAGATGACAAAGAGTTCTGGCTTGTTGTTGTTGTCTGTTTGCTTGCTTATTAGGGCTGAACGATTTAGATTTTTTTTTACATCATTGTCATTTTCCATGAAAAACATTAAAATAATTATGGTGTGTTTTTTTTTTTTGTTTTTTTTTGAGGGAATAAGTAACAAGATGTTTTCTTAACTCTGTAGAATATGATGTGTAAGACCGAACCTCTCTGCAGCTCTAAAATATTTAATTTAAAATGGTATTTTTACACACTTTTCACCGTTAACGATATGAAAATTGAAGTGGGCCATATTGCTGTTTCGGTAAACATTTTGATTAATCATTCAGCCCTATAGCTTATCACCCTTTCTTTGTGTTTACCCAGCCGCTGGCCTGTACTACTTGGCAGAACTAATTGAAGAATACACAGTAGCCACCAGTCGAATAATAAAGTACATGATAATGGTGAGTAAGTGGATACAAAGTGATGTAATTTTCCTTGTGCACCTGCTTTTATGAATACACTGCAGTGAAATATGTAGCTAACAACGCCTACGTCCAACTTATGTTTGTGTGAATGTGTCCAGTTCTCGACAGGTGTGCTGGCAGGTCTCTATGTTTTTGAAGGCTTCCCAGTGTTGATGGTGGGAGTCGGCCTCTTCACCAACCTGGTGTACTTCGGCCTCTTGCAGACTTTCCCCTACATCTTGCTGAGCTCCCCAAACTTCATCCTCTCCTGTGGTAAGCATGACAGACAGTGGTTTTGGATTCTTTATTTCTTGAAACAGAGCAACTGGTTCCAGCAACCCTAAAAAAATTACAAGTAATGAGTGATGCACTCTGGTATTTATGTGAAACTAAAAAGACAGCTTCCTTTCTTTCCGTAAGCAAAAAGGATCTTGTGTGGAGCCAACATACATTAAATGAACATGAATATCATTTTCTTTTTCCAACCTTGTTTCTTTTCCTCTGCCTTCACTCTCCAGTTTTGGTGGTGGTGAACCATTATATGGCCTTCCAGTTCTTTGCACAGGAGTATTATCCATTCTCAGAGGTAATTTCACCCCAGTTTTATGATATCTATTTTTTATAAATTGGAGGAGGACTTTCTGCCGTTGTTTCTCCTGTACTGTCTGATAATCCTTCATTTGTTACTGACTGGCATGAAGGTGCTGGCGTACTTCACCATCTGCCTGTGGGTGATCCCCTTCGCATTCTTTGTGTCACTGTCAGCGGGGGAAAATGTACTTCCGTCCACCATGCAACAAGGAGGTGAGCTTTTTATTCTCCTCAGCTGTGTGCTTAGCGTTTGTAGCAGTAAAGGGTTCAGCAAAAATACCTAAAAAGCCAGGAATTTTTTTTGCCCCTTCAAACAAATCAACCACCTGTGGGCCTCTTTGTTTTATTGGATTCTCTCTATCTTAAGAGTATTTTAGGAATTTCTTTGATCCCCTATGCTTTAAAAAAATTTTTTTTTCACAGTATATTTCATAATGTCAGAAATTGTAATCAGGTAAAATCCTTGCACTCTAGCCTAGGGTGTAAGAGCAGCCCGACTAGCTCGGTCGGTAGAGCATGAGACTCTTAATCTCAGGGTCGTGGGTTTGAGCCCCACGTTGAACATTAAATTTAAAGGCTGGTTTTTGCTCCTGAGTGAAAGTTTAAGAAACCATACAGTTAATTGTGTTTTTAAACAATTTTTTATGATCAGAACAAACACTTGATGCCAAACAGTCGATTACTTCACAAATCAAAGGCAGAACATTCAAAACAATTATGATCTTTTTATGATTATGGTCCCTTTTTTTTTCCTCAACAAAATAAATATTTTAATAGAAAAGTTAAGTGCTGATTCGTTTGTGATTCAAATTCTAATTATATTGAACCTTTTATTAGATTTATTTTGAGGAAAATTAAATCTCAATAATTATTCTGCCCTAGATCAGTAGAGTTTATTTTATCTTTATCTTAAGCACACATTACATCTATTTTACATTACTGCCAGCCAACATAGGATACTTTTCCTACCTTACATAAAAATCCTTCAGCTCCCCTGTAACCCTGCACAGGATACGTGAGTATGGCTAAAGGATGGATGGTATCATAAACATTTGCCTTTTGTCTTATTTTATGTTTTTAGATGATGTGGTGTCTAATTACTTCACCAAGGGCAAAAGGGGGAAGAGGTCTGGGATCCTCCTCGTGTTCTCTTTCCTCAAGGAGGCAGTGCTGCCCAGCCGACAGAAAATGTACTGAGGACCTCAGACTCGGGATGCAGCCTCGGGGACAGGGGTGTGTGAGTGTGTCCATGTTTTGGAGATTAAGGGGAAGCAGGAACGAAGGATTATAAGAATTTGTTTCTGGATGGGACTAAAACTAGTGGCCAAAGTGGGAGAAGAGCACACGAAGAGGACGGACCAATGAACAGAACAAAGCTTCCTGCTGGACGAGCCCACAAGTTTACACAGGCCACGTTCTTCTCTCTCTCTGTTTTTCTTTCTGTCTGTACTGACTGCCAGTAACATCTACTAGACACCTCACTGAGGGGATCTTGTCCGTAGTGCAATGCTTTCTTAAAGTCTCGTTGGACTCCTCCATTTTTTTAAGCTTTGGTATTAAAATATGTAAGTGCAGGGTCTGAAATTAACAACCACCAAATACCTGTAAATGTTGACTTTGGCAGATAAATCATAACCAATCATCTACTTGAGATGACATCCGCTGTTATTTGTGTGTTGTAGGTCTTGATTCAATACACTAAGTAGCATTGAAGAGAGATTAGGAGACAGAACACTACTAGTAAAAGCTTTTTGTTTCCTCAGATGACAGAGGTGGGTTGAAGATAAATAAGACAGCTTTAAGGTGCTTTCCGGCTAAAACTTGACGTCCAGGCTTGGATTTTGGTGTGAAGTGATCCTAGAAAGCATGAAAGTGTTAAAGGGGAGGAGAAGGAGCAACAGGTCACCACAGAAGTGCTTATTAAGATTACTTTAAATTAAGAAAAGGCAGTCTGAAGTGAAGTTTAAGGAGTCATCTTCTGATCTATGGAGACGTCCTGTGACATGGTATAAATACTCTCTGCCCTCCCACTCTGGATCATTTCCACGTGGCCACAAAAACAATGCACTTTTTAAATTTTATTTTTATTTTTTTCCCTTGTCTTGCATCTACACATTCATTAATCATCAGTGCTGTAGTCTGCAACATTTTTTTTTTGGACTGTTTTTAAAAATTCACAGTAATTACACACTGATTTTTGTACATTGATCGTTGAGTTAAGCCGATATCAAAGACAAATGAAAACACTGAAACCTGCGCAGTGACTTATGTAAGCTTTCGGGTGTCGGGGACAAAAGCTGCTCAAAAAATTGTTGATGAAAGTACTATTAGAGCGGCCGAAATTCTTTTTACCAATTACTGAGTGCGGTTCATTGTAGGCTGATATGCGCCCAACTGTATAGTACAATAAAGAGAGATTTGAAATAACACAGATTAAATGGTTCTTTTCACAGGTTGCTCAAGGACATAAAGGCAAAAATAGATGTACTGATCCTCAGCATTCCTAATTAAATCCAGTTAATTCACCCTTTCAGTTTAAAATCTTATTTTCAGTACAATGCATTTTCCCAACTGTTCTCACACCCTGAACGCCACTCTTTCAAGATGATATTTATATATATGTGTGTGCGCGCGCGCCAGTCGGTCTATCTGGATGGCATTATGTTACCCAGTGTCCCATGTGGCTCGGTCACAGTGTGTGCACCAGGTTGAGACTAGAGTGCACTTTGACCCCCACTGAGGTGTGAAGTGCTTCATGAAGTAAAGGGAAAAGACAAAACAGCCACACACACACACACACACACACCTTTAGCTGTCAGGCCACGGCTCACAGTTACACACAGGCTGTTGACAAGCCCTCACCTGGATCCCGAGTCAGTTCCCTGGGGGGGATCAGTGAAAGTGCAGGGATACATCTGTGACAGGTGACCCAGTTCACTGAGGTTTTCTCACCTTTCACTCACCCGTCCGTTCACCCCACTTTCTGAGGCGTAGCGTCTGGAGTGTGTGGCATTTTTAATTTTGTCACTTTGAGTTGTGGGGTGGCAGGATATGTTGTTAGGGAAGGTCTGCTAATATTTTTGATGTGAGACTGAACAGAGGACACTGCCAGACGTCTATACTTAGATGAAACATTTCATATATTTTGATGAGTTTTAATACATCTATTTAAACCCATCTACTAATCGCAGGTGTAGTTGGTGCTCTTCCAGTACAGAGAACGATGATCAGTAGTGCCCGGGCTCCAGTACCTCAGCCAGGTGCATGGCCACTTCTGTCCAGGGGGAGGTTCTCCGCCCCTGGGGGTATCCTCGGCGCTGGACCTCCTCAATGTTCTGTGGCTCAAAGTACCGAGGGGACGCGATCCTGGAAGGGAAGGCTCTGGGGAACAACACCCTCTCAAGGACATCCAGGGGTAGGTCAGGAGTGGGATGAGGTCTGCTGTCCCACTTAGTGGTGTAGTGAGGCTTTGTGCTGCTGCTGTCCCTCCACACTGTGATGCTGTCCCGGAGGTCTGGTTCTTTGGGGGGCTTCTCAGGCTGGAGGCCCATGAAAATGGTCCAGGGCCTGGAGGACGAGGCATGAGGTTGCTTAGTGTAGGTGCTCCTGTCCTCCTGAGGGCCTCCTGGCTGGTGCTTCAATGGGTGCTTGGCATGTTTTGTGTTCTGATCTGACGAGAGGCACTGGGTGTGGTACCGGCTGACCAGGACACGTGGGGAGAAATCCTTTAGGAGGGGCAAGCTTTTCCTGTTGGCCCACTCTGCCGTCTTCATATCATTAAGTGTCTGAAAGTGGACATGGAAAATGTGCTTTTAGTTGTTAGAAATACGCTGCTAATGTCATTATAGCATGACAAGAACCAAAGATACTGACCGAGCTTGCACTGATAAGAAACTTAAAATTTAAATCTTAAATTTCTCGGGGACGTGTCGAGATTCAGATTCTTACCACTACAATGAAAAATGTTATCTGAACATTGTTCATGTTGTTCAAGAAAACATTTTATAGTTGTTGTTTTTTTTGCCTTGCTATTTTTATTTTTAATAATCAAATCAGTGACATCACACAGAATGCACAAACAATTTCAACAACTGAAACATAATTTTGCTTAATTCAGACAGTCCTGAAAAGCAGTTTCTCCAGGCTTCTTCCAGTTCTTGAGGATAATCCGTCGTGCAGTGATGATAGCTGTCAGCGTCCATCATTTCAGTGGTTGGGGAAAGGTAGACAACACTTTACAGCCTCCTAATATAAACTTCTTGGGACAAAACACATACTGCCACTTCATGATATTGACAGTATAACAGTGAATCTTCCTACAATACTGATTACTCTTAGGGCATGACCATTACACATGTATCAGTGTCCCTTCATCCACCACACTTCCAGCAAGTAGCTGAATCCTTTAAGCCCAATCTGTGGAGTCTACTCTCGTTCCAAGAAAACCGTGGAGAATTTTAAATTGAATACGCCTCACCCTCAGGTCATTGTAATGTTTATTAAGTAAGTAAGAAGTATTACATTTTCTTATTAAACCAGTGTTTTGATATGTGAATGTTTCTCAGATTCTACCCCCCCACCAAATGTTGGATGAATGGATTTCCACAACATACAAACTAACCTTTTTATTGAGCTCATTAAGCTTGGCCCTGTCCACGAGATCTCTGTATAAAGCTTGAACCAACCTCCTCTTCTGCATTTCTTTCTTCTTATCTTGCTGCCATACGCAGCTTTTCAGATACCTACACAAAAACACAAGAAGTCTGTCAACGGTTAATAAAGCTGATTGAATGTGGTGTGAGTTGTTCTGTTGCCTCGTTACCTTGCTACCTTCCTGCGGCAACAGATGCGTGCCAAGTCCAGAGCAGTGTGTCCCATGCTGTCCTTGGCCAGCACATCTGCTCCAGCCTGCACAAGGATCTCTGTGCAGTCCAGCAGGCCTTCAGAGGCAGCCAGGTGCAGCGGGGTCGACCCTGAATCTGTGGCACTGGTTATAACAGAAAAATTATTTAAATCTTCTCAGCTTCATTATCATCTTCAGTGTCATCATAATCATCATAGTCATTGCCATCATTATCCCTTGCAGCAGCAGTTATAAACTTTCACCATCATCTCATTGTAATCATAATGTTACTTTTGCACTCTGTAATGGTATTTACGCTTTCTAAAGCTTCTCTTTCAAAACTCTTTACTTTGGTAAATAAGTAAATTGGTAATAAGAGCTTTAAGAAGCATGCTATAGCTGAGTGCCGCTGTATCCAGCTGACAGAATTATTAAACTCACAGGGCCCTTACACATTGACGTTGGCCCCGTGCTCCAGGAGGTATCTGAGGCACGAGGAGGTGTTGGGTGAGCTCCGGGAGGACAAGACCATGTGAACAGGCTGGCGTCCCTGGTGATCGCTGCTGTGAATCCACACTAGCCCGGACTCCACCAGGAGCTGAACAGTAGACAGCTGGCCATAAAGGCAGGCCATGTGGAGGGCTGACAGACCCTGGAGGACACAAAGACAAGCACAAAGTGTACTCCCCAATATTTATTTCTACTATAACTCTTTTATAACCTGTCCCTCAACCTACAAGACCTGAGCTCACACTGAGTCCCAAGTGCCATGGCAGTACTGACCATTAGGCCTTTTTCACAGTAGACATTTTGACTCATAGCAGGGAAAGCACAGGTGTAACTAATTATATTAGCAATGGCTGCATTTAATTTACATGTAGGTGTTAAAGGCCCTGCAGTTTCACTGGCATGGCTTACTGGGACATCATTAATGTTATGTCTGACGCCCTTGTGATTCCTGCTGTGGCAAGTCACACGTGCCAGGACTGTGTGGAAGTTCAGTACATTTAGTAAGGCACTGTTCAGGTACATCTTTAAGGTAAAGCAATATATTTGAATTTGTATTTATTTATGTAGTGGCATTTGTTCTTAAGTAATTGGCTGGAATGGTCTTCTTTCTTCAATCACTACTTCTGCACTATAGTCCCAGCCAACATACTGTATATCGACCAGTCTCACCATACTGTAATAATAATGAGCCTACCTCTGTGTTCACACTGACTTCCAGCTTCCCATGGATCCCAACAGCAACAGCTGGACACGTGTCCTCCCGGGGGAGCCCTGTTGGTAACTTTCCTGCAAAAATAAAGCCATATAGAAAAGATATTAGCTAACTTGACCCACATTTGAAAAAGCATTGCCATTATTTGTAGGAAGGATCGTTTTGCCTATAGCCATGTTAGTCACAAGGAAGTCAACTTTTATGAACGGTGATTTTCGGCGAGCGAATGCAAACGCTCCAAACAGCTGGCTTGACTAATTTATAAAAGTTTAAATTTAGGGCACGCACGGAAAAAATACCCATGAGCTGAAATTATCTTAATATTATTTACCGGTTTTTTCAATCCCACGTCTCCGTCTCATGGGTTTGTTGACGTGTTTCATGGTCTTCATGGAAACGCTGTAACCAGGAAACTAACCCTAATTTATGCAAATTCAGTCACAAGCAAACGAGACTGTTGATGTTGGAGTAAAACTGTTAAATCTATCTATCTATCTTAATTTCACATTCGCTTAACTTATCTTAAGATATATGTATGTATGTGTGTGTGTGTGTGTGTGTGTATATATATGTATATATATGTATATGTATGTATGTATATGTGTATGTGTGTGTGTGTGTGTGTGTGTGTGTGTGTATGTATTCGTCACACATCCCTGGTGTTGTATTGATAGTGCATCAGGATTGGCATCTCGCACATGGGCTGAGTAAAGCAGATCAATCCTGCCAACGCTGGAGACCTCAGAGGGCCCGATGTTTCTGCTGCACCCCGGACCTGCTGCCCCACGTGAGGCCAATATGAATTGAAATAGTTATATTCTCCATGTCTCTGTGGGGCTGAGGGGTCGATGGGCTCATTGGGCAGCAAGCCGCTCTGATCACTGCTATTGACCACTTGACCCCAGGCTGAACTGAATATGGGCAAATGTGCATTGTGGAGAACAATGTGTGTCATGGCAGAGATACTGTAGTTTGGGTTTACAATATTTATTTTTCAAGCAAATTAGTCAAGTCAAATTAATAATTTAAGGGATTCAAAAGATTCAGAATCAATTAAATAGACTGTATTGTGGCATTGTCTAATAAATTGTAAAACTGTTTAAATTTGCCATTTGGAAACTAATGTATATGACCCAGCTACGTTTACCCACAAATAACATTAGTCAATAAACTTGCTGTATATTTTCTTTCCGATCTTTAATTTGTGACCTTCCTTTCTGTTCATTCATTCTTTGTCTCTCAAAGCTGTCCAGCGGTGGGTCAAGGACGGACCACGGACCCCTGTCTTTCTGCTCCAAGCTCCAACCCCCCAGAGCCATCGCCTGCATCACAACACAGCCATTCAGACACTTTGGTGACACATGCATGTGCACACACGCAGTGAGTATGAGTAAACCAAGTGTGTTTGTATGTGCACATGAATGTGTTTACCATGTGTGTACACGCGAGTGTATATGTTAAAGAGAACAGCACGGCCTCAGTGGCTTCCTTTGACCACGGTCACGCGTCATGGAGGTTGCACAGAACCTTCGTTGTAGAGCTCTTTCGTGTTTTCAGCATAAGTCTCTGGAGAACAACCCAAAACATGACCTCTTTCTTCTGACAGTTGAGTGTGTGTCTGTGTTTGATTGATTGTCCATGTTCTTTATGAGAGTGAATGCTCCTTTAAAGCAGCAAAACCCTAAAAGCTTTCTGTCATATGATGTCTGTATATCAGTTTGCAAGAAATGTAGATTAGAGAAACTGCTTATGTAAGTATTTTGATTCTGAGTTCAAAGATGTGGCTTCTTACTCCAACGCTCATTTCTTTTGAATCAGGTCTTGCCGCTGCATCTAAAATCTTCATAGTCAATCAAAGTCTTCATCCTACATAGAATCCTTTTAAATTCTGTCTTTTTATATTGCTTTGTGTTCCTTTCATATCGTTTCTTGCTTTTATTATGCAGAGCCCTTTGAATTGCCTTGCTGTTCAAATGCGCTACACAAATAAATCTGCCTTGCCTTCAAAATCATTCTCTCACACATTGAAATGCTCATTGCATTCAGAAAATACAGTGAAACATGTTCATGTGTGTGCCTGCAGCGAGTGTGCATGCATTAGCTACAGCACATCCAGTTGGTGCAGAGCAGATTATCAACGGGCTGATAAGAGCTGTCTAAACCTGCTTAGGGCGAGGATGAAAATGAGATCATGTCCCAGCAGCCTCGCGGCGGGGCCCTGTCATTGGTCTGTTATGCCATCCAATCACATCTCATCACTTTGTATCGGTGCCGCAATAGAAGCTTCTGCTTGGCTAGTGTCAGCTGACCAGTTGGTGTCAGAGTATATGGGATGGAAATGTATTCCCATGATGTGTGAGCTATAAATATGATTTGGTTATGTATGAAATCCTTCTTTCTATCCTTCTATTTTGGGTTGAATTTTATTTACCCTTTATAATAGTATACACAGACTAGAATCATGGGGAGATACAGTAGTAAAGGGGTGACAACAAAATAAGAGGCATGCAACAAAGATCGTTGGTCAGATTCAAACCATTGGCTACCAACACACTGTCGGTCTGTTTGTATTTCTGTAAGGGTTTAGCTTCGCTTTAAGGGCTCTTTGCAGCTCTGTGTGTTCGGATAAAATCTTTGAACGCTTGGTCTAATGAAGCACTATCAAAATAATTTGACTTTGTTTGTTTGTCTAGAAATCTAGAGATAAGAAAACTGTTGTATAACACAATTTTATAAATAATTAGAAATATTAGAGTTTTTAAGGTTATCATTGAGTGAGAGTTTCACGAAGAGACGGAAGTGATGACTTTGGAAAAGAGATAGAGAAACAGAGAGATGATTAGGAGTAGATTCTAGAGCAAACGCACAACCTTGATATGCCTTCATATTTAATGATGAACCTTACAAGGACCCTGTGCCCCTGGGGCTTCTGGACGCTGCTTGTGTAAGTGCAACGATGCCCTCACTTTCCTCCTTCTCCCTCTCTCCTCGAATGCTCCTTTCCCCTCCTTCTTCCTCTGGTCCTCCTCCCCCTTTTGCTTCCTCATCTTTTTGCCTTGTACTCCATCCCTTGGCTCCTCCTTCTATCTTTTTACCTCCTCCTCCTCCTCCTCTCTCTGTGCCTCATGCTCAGCCAGGCGGCAGCGCGCTAATGCACCATGGCACATTCTGCAGCTCAGAGTCACAATGCAACCAGGCTTTGCGCAGTGACCGCACGGCGACCTCCCTCTGTATCGCCGCACACAGGCGCGGGGCTGTACCAGGGCCTGTGTAGGGCAAGGATGGAGGCAGTGGTTGGGTGGGGGGTGGAGGGGTAGGGGAGCAGATGGAGGAGAGGAAAGGAGAAGAAGCAGGGTTCTGCCGCTGACAGGTATCGAATGACAGTGAGATAAATTAATTGCGAGTAGAGAAAGACTGAAGCACCCTGCGATCCCCATTGAAAAGACGTATTTGTGCCACGTGTGAATTATCAGTCTCAAACCAGAGGTGGGATGTGCTTATGTGTGCTGTTGTAGCACGTTGAGCACCCGTGACCAAATTATTCTGTGAGTCATGAAGTTTCTTATATGGCAGAAAGCAAATGTTTCTGCTGCTGGATGTCTTGATTCTCTCAATGATTATTAAAGGTATCCAAGGTGGGTTAAAATCAAGGGTAACTTGGTCGAAGATACTTAAAGAAATTTCGCCTTTCATGCAGGAGGCTTCTTCAGACTGACTGGCAGGGAGCTATTTAACTTCACCTGTTAAGGTGATGGATACTGCTCGGTTCATTAGTGCTCCTGGCTGTTGTAACCAGCACTAAGCACATCACCTCAATAACATGATGACTGAGAATCTTCAAAGATTATTAAAGGTGTTAATCTTTCAATAATCCTTGACAGAGGAGGAAGACTGTATTTCTTGTTACTGTTTTTTTTTTATATATCTCTATGCTTCTATCCCTATGTAAGGCCATGCTCTTTCATCCTTGAGGTCCCGACAGACATCTCGCCGTCACACCTTCTTATGATCCCGAGCTTTTTTTCCCACACCCTTCAGACACGTTTTTCTCAATCCTCACAGTTCAGCACAAATGACCAGAGGGAAGAAGAGAGAGATAAAAGGACTGAGATAGTGAGAAAAAGAAAAGAGGGAGACCTTTAAGGTCAATTCTACATAATGTTTGTATATCATTTGTCTGTGAATGGAATGGACCATAGGAGTGGTCTACTCGATGAACAAAAGACCTAAAAAGACAAAGCTGGAAAAGGATAAACACCTGTCACAGAGATGTTTTACCCAAAGTTTGTTCTTATTATTCTTAATGACTTATAACTGATCTATGAGGCATCACTAAAGGATTTGCTGACATTAGAGTCATTAGTTGTATACAACCTTAATTAAAAAAGTGGTATCCAGGTTTTAAAATAAGATGCCCCAAACTCTTGTTGGATTTGCTAGTTTGGAGAAAAAACTAGTAAGATTATTAGGACACTTTCCTAAACAAAAGTCTGTAATGAAGTTAGATTTGGGGGCAGTAAAATCAAATGGTAGCTGAAAGTCATCATGTCATACCCATACCTTTACGTTTAGTTTCTGGGCATTTTTGCCTTTATTCGGATACAGGCCCACATGAACCTTCTACACTTGGCCGTGACCTCAGAGTTTAATCGTTCAGCTGCTGTGTGAACTCACACTCTGCTTGTGTGTAAAGCTGCAAAGACCAACCGCTCAGCAACACCATTAACAAGGTCAAATTTACACGTACTTTATCCAGTCCTTTTCTGTCACCTGAAACGCAACCACCATGACGCACGCTACAGCCAGTGTGTTCTGTATGTGCTAATTCTGCATGTGCGTGCAGTTGTGTGTGTGTGTGTGTGTGTGTGTGTGTGTGTGTGTGTGATTGCTTTCTCTTACTCTCCTGTGTGTGTTGCCACTGACACTGTGACCCTCTCCCTCCTCTTCTATCCAGGTCACAGGTCTTTACTGGTTCATCAGCAGGGCAACACTCCACAAAACCATTGTTCCTGTGACACGCATCCTGATTATATTCATAAAATGTGGCGTTGGTAGAGATAACATGATGTAAAAATGCAAATGCCACTAGTACAGCGATACCACAACAGCTTCAGGACAGTCAGCCACTTTAAAATGTTTACACACTCTGCTTAGACAAACATGATACGAAGGGAAGTGAAAGACACACACAAACACACACACACACACAGGCCTGCACACAGTCTAAATGGTATTTTTTGCCTGAGGTTTTTTCCATCTATTCAATTAAAGCGCTTGTATATTGCTGATTTTATGAACTGGAATTAGGCCAAAATAAACACAATACGTAGAGTGTAGGGGGGTTTGTTTTCAAACAGATGGATGGGAAGACAGATGATCTGATGATCTTTCTCCTAAAAAACTAACAGCATCCTGATAGTTTCTTCTCTCTCCAGTGACATACAGCAGCCACAATCACCTAATTACCACCTTAAATAATTCAGCAGCATGGCAGCTACATGCAGAAACACTGAAATCCATTTGGAGCGACAGGACTAAAAGGGTGTAGCCTCATACCCTGTGTACGACATGTTGATCGCTGTATTATTGATGCTGAGTGTTTTATCAAGCTCAACTGAAAGTGAAATAGACCTAAACCTAACCCCAAAGACTTTACTTTTCATAATTCACATGTAAATCAGAACACACAAGACATTGTTTAAATAATAGGGATAATTAATTGCTATTTATTGTTTTTAATGGGCTTCACAGCTCTCAAAAGTGGTATTTTGAACACATTCATATACTTTACATATATTACATATGTAAAGTATATGATACATATATTTTTTTGTGAATTCTACTTGAAATATCAGTTCATATAAATGTCATCAATAATCAGTAAAGTGTGTGGTTGTTGGGGTTAAAATGAGTAAAAAACACTATACTCAAGTAAATTTCTTGGTTTGTCTATAAGATGATGAGTCCTGGTGTAAAACTAATTTGGTAAAAGAAAATAAGCAACTTTATGTTCAGAGTATGTAAAAAATTACTTTATTCAAAAAATTGTTGATGCCATGTTATCAAAATGTTATATGGAGGAAGAATGTAATCGTGTTTTTCCCCCCGACAGCGGGTGTTTTTGACATTATCAAGTTGATTATGAAAAGGGTTCATAAGTTCAAGAGGTTGGAGAAGAATTCCCCTCTCAGGAGAAAATCCCAGACATTGGAGTTAAAATGCTGTTAAACTTTCAGGCTGCAAAACAGGGACACAAAGTTCAAACAAAGTTCGCCCATTTAAAAGGAAAACTCCAGTCTAAGTCAAATGGTATACCTAAAGAGTGTAAAGCCTGAGAACATTCAAATGATTAATACAATCTGGCAACACCCCAAACCTTCAATAGAGCACCAAATATATTCCTGCAATCAATCTCCACTGTAGCTGTTTGTCAGTGTGATGCCACAGTGTCTCAGTTTTGTCACCTGAATAAGACAAATTCCCCTGCAAACGACTTCAAATGTTAGTTTTATACAGACCCATAGTGCAACACCTCAGCCAAAATATACTTAAAGTTGCATTGTTTTGACGCTTCACTTTGTTCACCAGCTATTTGCTAATTCTGTCTGGCTGCCATTTGGTGCAAGGCAGTGTAGCGGATTTTAGAGCATGTCTGCTGTAAACAGCTGCTTGCTGCTACTGGAAACAAGGTTAATGACAGTGAAGAAACAACAGAAAAGCTGTGGGCCATAAAACCAAAACAATTAGCTTAAATTAGCTAAAGGCCTTGTTGGAGCTGAGGGGAGCTGCTGAGTCTGATGATTATTATCTAAGGGTTTGTCACTACGAGCGACACCTTTCACATTTTTCATCTGACCTATTGTTAATATAAAATATTGATCGGAGCAGCTTTAAGTAAAAGTAAAATTACTATCTCAGTTGTGAAAAAGAGCAATGCCATACTTTCTCAGACGCAGTAAGGAGAACCACTCTCG